ATTAAATTAGCATTAACTTTCAACACATTGTGATGAGACTACACTAAAATGTTCAGAAGGCATTGCAAAAAGGGGGAGGGGGGATTATTTTCACCGAAAAAATAATTTGTGTGAAGAAAAGAAAAATGATAAAAAAAACCACGAGCTTTTAAAGATCAGTATTAAAGGCAAAGCTACAATAAGCTTATTTTAGATATGAATAATACTTTTGTTATAAAATAATAGTATATGTTTTGGAGGGTATTTCAACATTTAACTGCTCCCCGTTTCTTTGTTGATATTCTATATTTGGTAGAAAAGGAATCAGGACAACTCGCTCCCAACACCTGTAAAGACAACTCTCCCCCACTCAGGACAGCTCGCCCCCACTGTAGAGACAACTCGCTCCCATTATTTTTTCTAGTGTATTACAGGGAAAAACGACGTATTTTATTCAATAAATTATATTTTAAATGCAAATTTGAATTATAATTTTTGATTAACATTTATTTTAAATAAAATAAAATTAATATTTACGATTGTGTGTGTAATATGTTGTTATTTGTTTTTTTCACGCATATATAAAGTAAACACGGTATATGTATTTATTATTTCCTTATATTATTTTTCTTATGAAATAGAGCAAATAGGTAAATGCATTTTGATTTATCACATTGTTTTAAATTTATGTTTGTAGAATATGTCTATGTACATCAAGTACATTGTTCTAAGTGTTGAACAATCTTAATTATTAAATGACATATTAATGATATTCCATCGATGACGGCTTTTAGGAAACTTATGAAAACTGAAATGAAAACATCATACAGAATTTTAATGAAATCCCCAAGCTCACAAGTAATTTGAAACTTCAAAGTAATGATTAATTAGGACATGCAAGCTCCGAAAATTACTTATATTTCGTTGATAAAAAATTGGAACTTCAAAGCGATGATTAATTAGGACAAGCAAGCCCCGAAAATTACGTATATTTAGTTGGTCAAAAATGGGCTTGTCCAAGCTCTGAAGCAGCTTTAAAGTAAAGAAAAATTAGATAATGCAAGCCTCGAAAATTACGTATATACAGTTGATAAAAAAAATGGGCGTATCCAAGCTCCGAAGCAACTAAAAAGTGATGAAGAATTCAAGAATGCTTGCGTTGGAAACAAATTATATAATTTGACATGATCCCTATATAAGGAAGAAATGACTTGAATTTGTCATCAATTTCAATCATGGGTGACTTGTGCATTGTATGCGATCTTCATCTCCGACAACGCCAAGAGATCCTATGGTGCAATTCCTGCCACGGAAAATAACATAAGACATGTAACTCGGGTTATAAAAAATATAATGTTACATAAAAATAATTTAATCGTAAAACATTATATTAATAGTATATTCTAATCTCTTTAAGCGCAATTTTATAAGCAGAGGGCGAGTTGTCCTGAAAAGGTGGCGAGTTGTCTTGGGGGCGAGTTGTCCAGCATTCGTAGAAAATACATACTTCCTTTAAGTTTCTTGTGTATATTGTCATTTGATGAAGGCTTTGAATATGCCCAAAAAGTTACGAAAAACTGGTATTATCTTTGAGAAAATATTTTTTGAGACTTCAGATAAATATGTAAAATTGTGCTATTTTTTTGGCTATGGTAACTACACTGTAACAAAATAAGAACGCATTACAAAACAGTTAAAATAAGACCCAAAAGGATATATTTCGTATATGCTAACTTGATATGTTTCAAAAATTTAAAGAAAAGGTAAAAAAAAAAATGCCCTATAAACTATGCTCAATGTTTCATTTGTTTTTGGGATAGACTCGGTGGTTATTCTTCTGAGCGTGCAGTGTTCACATTGGATCGATCCAGACGAAAATGAAAATGTGTTCACATACCTCTACGAAACAGTTACAAAAAGAAAATATACACATGGAGAAAGAATCATTGTCAATTTTCTGTATGAAGGAAGTATGTACATATTTATGCATTATTTCAATATGTATGGATTATCTTTGATATAATTGAATTTGTTGGAAGACGTATATTCACAAACTGATAATAGTTATCTGATCAAAGCACAGTCAATGTTATTTTCTTTCTGGATTATTTAAATTTTTATTCATTCAAAATATTTAAGGTATTCTAACAAAATGATATAACCAATCTACATTTAATATAAAGCAGTACCTTTTGAAAAGATTTTAAAAACTTATATATATAATAAACTGTGCAGTTTTATCAAATAAACGCAGGATGAGGCTCTCCCAATCAGGTAACTTAAAGCAATATGAGCTGCATGTTTGACATCGGAAAATTTTGTTGCAAATTTGTAACTAACTATGTATTTCAATTACAGAAAAATAGAACATTTATAAACTTCTGTTGTTCAAATTTTCAATTGAAGAACTGTTTATAAGCTTTGATTGAAGCAAAATTGTATTATTGTCGTCCTGTACAATAATGATTTCTTATATAATACTGTATATTCGATTGTACAGAAATATTTCTTCTGAAATATTTTAAAACTTTATTTTTGTCTTATTGATCAAAGGGGTTTTAATTACATACAATATGATCATAATAACACATTTTACCAGCAAAATAAAAATCAAAAATGCAGCTCATATTGCTTTAAATGAAACTGAATAATAGAGGTCTCCCCTTCGTAAGATTCCATGACCAGTGCCCTGCCTTTACACCCCCCTCCAAAAAAAATCACTTGATTAAAAAAAAGGTATATTTTTCTTAAGTATTTGCATGTTCACAACTTAAAAGAGAAATGATTGAAGACACATCAGTTAGAATAGGCTCAATTCTAGTAAAATCTATCCTTTGTTTCAGGTGAGAGTCGCATCTTCGATGTCCCTGTACAGCCGGGGGATCCAGGTTTTAATCACACAGTTACTGTCCGAGTTCGGATTTTTGACATCTATGGGGATTATGGAACGTATTCCTCAAATATTACAGTATTGATCTGATTACATCATTTTTCCTCTTTATCCAAATATTTGTTCACATCATTTAAACTCAGATCTCTATTTTGACTGATTTTACCACTAACCAAGGCATTCTTGATTTTTTGCAAGAATTGATATGAAGTGCAATGCTTTTCTTCTGCAGGTCATTCCACCTTCTAACTTTGAACCTGAAGATTTAGAAGATATTTCAACAATTGAGTCCTCGTTTAATAACTTTGATTCAAAGTTCAACAACTACAATCTGTCAGGAAATGACCTTCAAACCTTGAGTTTTTTAGGAGCCGTTGCAGCTGGGTTCAAGCAATTTCCATTTGTATGTACTGAAGTTCTTGACCTTTTGATTAGGCCCTTTAAAAATTATTTGGTTGTCCTCTCCTGACTGGCTGGTTAAAAATGGCGCGATTCAAAACTTTTTTTTACCTTCAAGAAGAATTATTTTTTAGAAAATAATTAGAAAATTAAATTTCAAAAATATCATTGAAATTAAAATTTTCTGAGAAAAAAAAATCACTCACATACATGTAGCTACCGAACCAATATTTATAGACCAAGTCGGGAGAGGGCAACTAAATTTAAACACTTTTTTTTAAAGATGGCCTTACCAATTATACATTTACAATATGGTTAAGATTTTGTAAAAGGATGTTTTTAAAAGAAAGAGTCACACATTTAAGGATACTTATAATAAGTGGATTCCTGATGATGGCGGACTTATATAACTAATTATAATTAGTTATTTAGAATATTTATTTATTATTTGGCCTGTTATCACACCGCCGAAACACTAAATTAGTGTCGGATCTAAGTGAAAACGGGGTTCGTGGCTTGATGGGAGTCACTTTTTTATAACATCATATTTTAAAATATGTTTTTGAAAAGATTGATAGCACAACAACTGAAGAAGATGTAAAAGGTGATATAGAGTCCATTAACATTGATACATCCGGAGGAGGGCCTGTGTTTCTTGTTTATCAACAGGTAGACTGTAATAACAAAATATTCATGGACTTCATGTTGTTAACATTAACAAATCTTACAAGTTTTTTTCTAAACTTCCAAAACAGAAAACCGAGAAGCTTCTTCAATTGGCCAAAAGCATTATAAAGCCTGGTTGTGCGAATTTCACCGACAGATTTAAATTGGCAGACATGCAGCAAATTTTCAGTACCATGGATGCTCTGACTCGTTATGAACCGTATTTAACTTTGGAGGCAGTGGTTTGTGTTTTCCTAAGTCGGAAATATGTGAAGTTTTAAAAATATCAGTTAATTCAGTAGGCTCGATTGATGACATTAATCTTTCCGGTAAAAAAAATGAGGGATAAATTAGAAAATTAACGATGTTATTATGAAAAATTTTTAAATTTTGATTACATTTTGATAAATTATTGTGAATGAATGAACATGTTAGCTTATGTCTTATTCAAACAGATCATGACGGTTGAAATCGTGGACACTGTCATTGACTGTTTGGAATATGGCAGCAGGAGAACTCCTTTATCCACAAGCGCAGTTGAAATATCAACAGACATTGCTAATGGTAAGACTGTGTACTGGGTTCATAGTAGTGAAAAATCCAATGTAAAAAACGAGTATTTCTTAATGATTTAACATTTATAGTGTTGTTTAAGTCAAGTTTACTTCTGGTATAACATTTTTTAACTTTTCTAATGTTGGGAGCTACTTGGTACCTATTTATTACATCTCTGCAGCTGATAAGACCATTTTCAATTTATTTTTTAGTTTTAAATCTGTCAAGTGCCAATAACGGCATGCAAAACATAATGATGTAATTTTTTTTTACATAATACATGTACTTATACATAACATAAATATTTTCTTAATATCTTTTTCTAAGCATTTTCAAATAGATATTCAGCATTCTCTACAATATAAATTAACCACAAATGTTAATATATGATAGTTTATCATCATGTATTGGACAATGTCTTGAACAAGATGCTACCTCGGAAACTGCAAAACTTGGATATTGAACTTTCCAAGGATGATATAAGAGCGGAAATCATGTCGCACCTCAAGTTCTTCCTTCAAGTTACCAGCCTGTTAAAGCAAAATCAAGGGAACGTAACTTTAGACTATCAACGCATAAATAGACAAGTCGATTTTATTTATCAAATACGAGCACATGAACGAGAGTTTCAACTTCAGCAAAGAGAGACGGTATATAATTAATTATAATTGCAATAAAAAAAACTGTCCAACATAAAAGCAAAGTTGTCTTTCTTACAAGGGTAGAGAAAAATGAAAGTTAAGCTTTCTTGTCTCTTTCATATAGAAATATCACATATGTAAATCTTTAATGATTTCTTCTATTGTTTATCCTTTTTGACCGCTACAATATATGAAATTAAAGAACAACTGTGTTTTTTTTCTTGGTTTTGATTTACATTACATTATATTGTTGGAAGATTTTTTTTATTTATTCCCGTAATTATTTCAGGCAAGAAAATGTATCCCAATTATAAAACGAATCCAATCAGTCTTTGTAAATGTCATGCACAAAACTATTGTTTTGGGCGAGCGACTTCACTTCAAGGCATATAAAGTACTGGAAATAATGATAAGAAAGGTGTCCCTCAACGATCTTGAAAATGTCCAAGATGAGTTTCTGGAAGGTGTACACGAAGTGAATGGCTCAGACAAACATGCATCATGCCTGGAATTATCAGTATTTTCTGACTTTTGATTTAATATATATAATTTTTTGTTGTTGATATTTTTAAGCTTATGAGTAAAATAATATCAATTATTTTTGATAATATACAATACATTAGCGGTAATGATTTTTAGTGAATTAGAGAATAGATTTAAAAGAAAGTAAAAGTAATGAAAGGAATAATTACTTTAAAAAAAACATTTTAATATTTTTTTTCATTTAGGTCACTAACTACTTGATAAACCCTTATATATTTGGAGAAAATGCAACCAAGGCAACTTCTTCCGTGCCAGTGATGTATATTCCCCAAAATATATCCGTGGACACAAATATTCGGAATAAAGGGGATTTGGAATTCAAAAAATATACCCCTCTCATTAATCCACAACATCCAGAACCGATAATTTATTTTACTTTTGAGGTTATAAGTGAAACAGATGCAGTCATAATCTACATAAAACCTGATGGATTTGACTTCCTAGCCCACCAGAGGGTGCCTTTATATTCGTTTTACATTAGTTCAGATACATTTCCAACATCAAATGTGTTTGATTACAAAAAGGAACTTGGTGTCCAAGATTGGACAGGATATGGATTTAAAGTCTTCCTTCCAGAAAATATGTGTGGGAAAGGACTTTGTTATTTAGGCATAAAACCACTCACAGGTAAATAATGCAAATTCTGCACGTAGGTCCAATTGTACAGGAGGAAAAAGTTATTTTTAGGACTATTTCACACTTTTTATTCCAAAACTAGAACGATTTATAGCTGAAGATCTGTAGCTCGCTGGTCTGAAAAAAGGGGATAGACGACCAGAAAGCAACAGCGCTACCCATCGAAAAAAGTATATATTATCGTTATAGCGTATATTTAAGCTGCCATCAAAATATTACCATGTTTTCTAGTACAATATATATATATATATATATATATATATATATATATATATATATATATATATATATATATATATATATATATATATACTGAAAGGAAAAAGAAACGCATAATAAACTTTTGAATAAAATTAAAACTTTTATTTCCAATATGTTTTCCAGTATTGTTATCAAACATTTTAATTCAACTTTAAACAACAAGTAACCGAAATCTTGTGTGACTTTGACTGATAATTCCTGAGTTATTGAAATTGATATGTCGATACCCCCCAAAATTAAAATAAAAATTCTCATCATCTCCCTTGCGCATGAGTAACAGCCTTGATTTTCTTGTGCATTGAGTTCACCAGAGCATTTATCTTTCTCAAAGATTATCATTCAAGCCTACCTACGGTAGTTTTAATGTTTGAGAGAAGCTGTATTATTCCAAAGCTAACAAATACCCCCGCCCAATGAATCCCACGAATTTTCGATTTAGGATAGAATTTACAGAATCTAGCTGATTTGGTTCACGTGAATGTTTGTAAGTAAGTATAGACAAACACTGGCTACATTTTCACAGCGTGAACATGCTAAAAGCAATACACATACGGCGCGTACGTGCGCGTATGAGAGTAAAATCGACGTAAAGTTGCCATGCTTTCATACCAAATTAGAGCAGAGAGTTCCTGTCAGTATTAGGGTGAAAATATGAGTAGGATTGCCTGCCGTAAAAATATCGGTTTCAGTGATAATGACTTGACAATAACCGAGGTAGCTTTCATTTTCAATCTTCAGAAGCTTACAATAGTATCATAGTAACAGTGATTATGACGTCATGTTAAGCGGAACGTTAAATGTCTATTATGACGTCATAGATACAATATGACAAAAGGAATATTATATTGGTGAAACCGGCAACACTCTCCGTGCCCGTGTACGTGTACATAAGCAACACATTAGTACACCCGAATACAGACAAATTCAATTAAGTTCGCACCTGGAGGCGTGTGGTAAAAAACAATTCAAAATTTTCCCTTTCTATAAACTCAGTTGTGCAACTGATATCCAAAGACGGGAAAAAGAAAAACATTTTATTAGTATTTTTCAGCCAAAACTTAATAGTGTTTCATAAATTACTTGTGATTTTCCCGTACTTTTGTCATATTGTATCTATGACGTCATAATAGACATTTAACGTTCCGCTTAACATGACGTCATAATCACTGTTACTATGATACTATTGTAAGCTTCTGAAGATTGAAAATGAAAGCGCTAAAGCTTAACTGAGGATTTTTGTGTTTTCTTTTTACTTTTTTTTAATATATATATATATATATATATATATATATATATATATATATATATATATATATATATATATATATATTGAAACAGAAAAAAATCCACAGTGCTCGGTAGTTTACAGGTAAATGTTTTAAAAAAAGAAACACGAAAACCTTTAGTCTAGCTTAAGCGCTTTCATTTCAAATCTTCAGAAGCTTTATAATACGTAACGTATGCTATGTTACGTATTATAAAGCTTCTGAAGATTTGAAATGAAAGCGCTTAAGCTAAACTAAAGGTTTTCGTGCTTCTTTTTTAAAAACATTTACCTATATATATATATATATATATATATATATATATATATATATATATATATATATATATATATATATATATATATATATATATATATATATATATATATATATATATATCTGTATGTATGTATATTTAAGAAATAAACAACGTTATTCAGTAAACATGGCGTTATGAATAGCAATTGCTCTGCTGGCATATTCCATGATGCGCGCTAGCGCATCATGGAAAATATGCCAGCAGAGCTATTGCTATTCATAATGCCATGTTTACTGAATAATCGTTGTTTATTACTTATATTTGCATTCTTTGATTTATTCAAGAATATCAGAGGAAATCCTGACTTACATAAGGACGTGGCCTCTTGTCTTCAGTAATGAAAAACATACGGCTTTAAAATCGGTACACCTGATCAATGATCCTTTTATCTAATAAATCACAAACAATTAATAAAGTATTTCCCTCTCAAACACAGTTATCTGGATACAAGCAGCGCCGTCAACACATTCTCTTAATTTTTGTTTTGATGCAGTTGTGACGTCATCGATCAACGTTATTGAAACCCTCTGACAAAAATCAATGATTTAACACTATGATGAAAAATGATAATGCTTTTATAATGATTATTACTCCAGGATGCTTTTCTATTTTTTTTAGTTCTATTTTTTTTAATAGCTGAAATTATTCTTGAAGTAGATATACTAGTTATACTAGTTTTCTGAATGTTATTACGCAAGTGTGGAGAGTTATCGTTCTTTGTACAAATATGCATGATACAAAAAATAAAAATATGGCAGTTTTGTACAATTTTAAAAAAGTTTTATTATACAATTAAATACATTGACCAAAATTGAATTTTTAAAGATATAAATCAGCAAATTTAATTATTCTGAATTTCTTTTTTTTTTCGAAGAATATTATTAAAAACTTATTTTTATTCCTTTTACGAAAAGTTTCATATATATACTTCTCAACACGCCTTATTATTGTAGAAGAGTT